ATTAGTAAAAAAATCATTTTGATTTAAATCATGATTTTTTTACTCTGATTTAAATTGATTTAAATCATGAGATTTAAATCATTTGATTTAAATCATAACAACCCTTATATCAGCTAAGTCTCTTTAAATTATGTCAGAATTCAAAGTGCATCGCCAAGTGATGACACATGAAAGAGGCACAAATTCATGAAGTGCACAGCTTTTATACTCACACTGTCAATCACTTCACAAAATACTCTCATTAACTGGCAAAGATTAATCTTATTGTTTATTTGTTGTATAAGTCGTGCCCATAATCCTTTTTTTTATTAAATATTAACATAGCATTATGCAATAAATCCACTGCTGAGGTGAAGTGTTGCTGGCGTGTTGGCGGGCATCAGTCCTTGACAGCTGGCACATCTGGAATTTTGCTAGCAATGAACGGTGCCAGACAATGCCAGTCATATGTCTCTGACAAAGCACCTATCAACATGATCTCTGATCATTCTTTGCTTTGTGCTGATTCACAAGTTAACATCATTATGAAACAAGTGCAGGAAGGCTTGTGGTTTTTGTTGTTCTAAGTAGGCTGGGGTGTATATGTTCGTGCATATAATAGCCTAGCTCAGGTAACAGGTGCCTACCATACAAAATCTTTCGACAATTATTCTCTGAACCTTTGATGATACGATACTAGTGTATTATAGTAAATAAATCAAGCAAAGCATTCTTTCGTGGTAGCATCCACACACAGCAGGGACACAGAGAATACTGTTTCAAAGTATAATAGGCTACCGTATATCTCGGCCTACAAGGCGACGGGGTGTATAAGACGGCCCCCAAAATTTCCATTTAAAAAGTAGCTTTTGAGCCCTACTCGCTGTATAAGACCGGTACCCCAAATGTGACACTTACCATTGGGAGCTTACTGACCCAGTAGTCCTTTACCAACCATCCCATTGACCAGTGCTGTTTACACATCCTTGGTTTTTTAAAATAAAGCCAATTCACTTCAAGTAATGGCATCAAATTTTACCGGTTGGTGTAGTGTAAACACTAGTGACTCACTTAAAAGTTTGTTATTTAACTTGAACTAATGTCGGTGTCGAATACAATTGTTTCATTTACTTAAAATGGATTTACCGATTTATTTATTTATTTATATCATACTGTAATATATTAAACACACTGGAAGTATTTTCTTTAATTTATAAGCTTGCTTCAGCGAGCTACAGTATTCTAATTCAATAGTGTTTCATTAGGATTTGAGTGAAAAAGATTACTGTACATACTTACTACATACATTTATTACACAAATATATATATATATATATATATATATATATATATATATATATATATATATATATATATATATATATATATATATATATATATATATATATATATATATATATATATATATATATATATATATATATATATATTCACAATATTTTATAATTGCAGTCATGTACTGAATATTCTATGTAAAAAATATAAATTTTAAATGAATTATTTCTAGTGTGGTCGACTTCCTACACAAAGACGGGCTATAAATAGCCGTCTTATCTCCCCTCTGTTCTGAGAGAGAAGGTCTTGGTAAATAACTTTTGTTTGTTTATTTTCATTGTTTGTCAAATTTATCATGTTGTATCAAAGTAATATTACTAAAAGTTTTAGGCAGCTACCAAACAGGGAGATTCTACTGCCTGGGAAGATATTGGAAGCATAATGTACAGTATTGTCTAATGGTAGACCCTACTTCCATATGGCATCACGAAAATTGTGACCAAGTCTTAGGTTGCTGATTTATCTTACTGCCTCATTTACACACAATTGCTGAGTTTCAATTGTTTCTCTTCCTTTGACAACACAACATACATACAATATAATGTTTCACCTTTGATCTTTTTTCCATTTATTTATGGTTGGTTATTTAAAATAATGCCAATTCACTTCAAGTATTGGCATCAAATTTTACCCGCTGGTGTACACTAGTGACTCACTTAAGCGTCAGTTATTTAACTGGAACTAATGTTGGTGTGAGTAAAATATTTCCATTTACTTGAAATAGATTTGCCGATTTATTTGTTTATTTATTTAGCTATAATATATTGTAATACATTAAACACACTGCAAGTATTTTCTTTAATTATATACTTGTTTCGCGAAAAAGGGAGGCTACTATTATACCTGGTAGGTGAAGTTGACCAGACATTTATGATCATTAAGGACCAAACTCCGAATCCATGACGTGTCTTCTGTTAATCATTCTCATCCTAAATTTACCACTGTCGGTAGTTTCAAGAATTAACGCAGTCATTTACTGAATATTCTTTGTAAAAAAATTAATTTTAAATTAATTATTTATAGGAGATAAGTATTATGATCAGTAAATATACAGATATGCATTACTGACCACCTCCGAACACAAGGACGGCTAAAAATAGCCACAGGCGGTCACTGTCAAGGTCGCTTTCCCTTTCTCGTCACTGGCAAATGGGGGGGGGGGGTGATGATAGCAGCTGTGTTTATTACCGGGGTATATTGTTCTTTTACGGTATGTTAGACTGGTTTATAATACATTTTTTTTATTTTAATATACCGGTAATCTTCATTTTAATCCAGCTTCCCAAATGTAAGTTTCAGTATAAAATAATTAGTGGTAGGACCTTGTGAGTGGTTTACCATGTTTCCATCACCACTCTTGACACGCTAAACCGCAAAATTTAAGAGGTAAGAATTTTATCTCTGGTGCTTAAGACGACCCCCTAACTTTGGGCTGATTTTTTTTTTGTTCAAATTCCGTCTTGTAGGCCGAGATATACGGTAGACAACTCTTAGTTTTAAACCATTCAGGATTAGTGTCCCATTTTAACATTCTCCTCTGGCTCACGCCAGAAGATTTTATTTTCAGGGAAGTTTCTGTTTCTTATGGGTTACTCTGCCATGTAGTATTTTCTATCCCTTCCATTTTCATCAGCGCACTAGAAATCACAGTGATACTATTATCACAATGTTTGTAAGACCAAAGTTGACAGGGAAAAGGCAGTAAATAAAAGACTGGAACTTAAAAGCAGTTGTGTGTGATATGTACTGAACGAAAACCATGACTGATTGCAAAAACGTTTTTCACAAACACATATTAGTCGCAGAAGAGTGCTGTAATCTGAGTGAGACAGAGACTGTGGACCAGCTAACATTAGGGTGGGTGCCAGAGGAAAGATAATGCCCACAGCTTGAGGCACGATACTAACTTTAATTTAAAAATTTATAGTACTACATACCATTATGAGCAAAAGCTTTGGCCTCTGCAGTAGTACTGTACCATGCAGCAGCCAGTCAAACTCCCCATACCATGACGTCTGGAATGATCTAGGTCAGTAGTTCTTAAAGTTTTTTGCCTCGTGCCCCCCCCCCCCTTCCTGATGCAACCCTTGGTTATTATAGAGTGGGAGGGATGAGCAATCGTGTACAAGACACTTTCAGTTCCTGACCAGACTTTTCTCTCTGGCCGTTCATGCCAATCTTCTGGTGGGGAGAACGCCCCCCAGTTTAAGAACCACTGATCTAGATCGTGTTGATTGTTCATATTGACGCTGCTGCTCTAATTTTTCTTATTTGTTTTTTGCTTGTTGGTGGATTAACATTCTTCCACACATCAAACAATCCCTTTGGCAGCCCATGATGATTAATAATAATGTCTGTGTTAGTTAGTTGCACTGAGATCGCTGACTCCCTGGGAGCAGCAGGGCACAACAACCAAGTACGCGGGTTCACATATACAACACACGTTTACTCTTGCAATGTTTTTTATAAATTGGTCACTAAACACTTCCTTACGGTATGCAGATTCAAAAATATAAATTTTTGTTCAAAACTACTGGATAGCTCCTAGACACTGCGAGTCTGACATGTTAGTTGCTTGCCGGGTGATTAAAAACCAATAAATTTCTAAGATCTACTCGCCCTTCTTATATTTTGGTAAAAAATGCGTCATATCTATGGTTAAATATAATTTCCATTGCTGGAAGCCTTGCAAGACAGTGATTAATTTGGGTAGTATATACAACCCATAGTTTGCACTAGAGATGAAAAAAAATTCCAACCAATGGATATCGAAGGCTAATCGATGGATATCGTTAAAGTTAATTTTTTTTATCATATACGTACAGTATCGCGAGATGGTCTTAGCTTATGACCATTGTTAAAGTGGAATATCGCTGAACGGGATATCGTATATTGAGGTTTGCCTGTACACATTAATTTTTGTATTGGTAGCAGGTAGGTATAGAAAAAGTTTGATTGAAATATACAAATTGGTATCCTAGTAGGCTTACACAAAGTAAAACTTCCTCTTTCAACCTGATGACTGCTTCAACCAAGTGGCTAGATTTTGTATATATTTTCAATATCTTATACAATTAGCTGAAAACTTAAAAAAATTCAGATACTTTGCCCACAAAAAAACAACACAAATTAGCTAATACAATACTTCAAATTACTGTAGTGGAGGCTGAATTAATGAGGTTCCATTTTATTATTATTACAGTAAACATTCATTAACCGACCTATATGGGGTCAGAAAAACCTATAAGTCGGATAATCAAGGTACTGTACCAAAAATACATTACTGCGCAAAATAAGAAAATCAAGTGACGACGATGTCACTGTACAGTGTACGCATACGCCTCCTTTATACCTGCAAAACACACTCAGGCCCACACCACGCGCTCCCCATGTGCTCAGTTGCTGCGTTTGCAATGCTGCTGCTTATAGTGCTACATTGCTACATTTAACAACCGCTTACATGGTAAGCATTATACCGGACCCGTCCTACAGGGGATGGGTTGGTTATTGCAGGGGTCGGTTATTCGAGGGTCTGTTAAGCGAGGGTTTACTGTATTACGCTCCTGGGGAAAAGCATTCAAGACTGACCAGTTATGGTAAGAATATAGCATGTGTGAAGTCTTGACAGAGGTAAGCATGTTATTAATTCACATATTTATCCACAGGTATTCAGTAGGACGTATCCTTGGTGACGGTAACTTTGCTGTGGTACGAGGGTGTGTTTGTAGGAAAACAAGAGAAGAATATGCACTTAAGATAATAGACAAGACTAAATGTCGTGGAAAGGAACATATGATTGAGAGTGAAGTTTCTATACTACGGCAAGTAAGTTTTTTTTTTTTTCTTTATTTTAAATCAAGATTAAATTTACTTAAATATTTGTTGACACAACTTCACCAGAGAGAAAGTTGAGGATATTTATTATGTGGCTAGTTTATGGTCTGCAAGTAGTAACAGCTTGGCAGTTTGGTTGATCTGATGGTCACCTGGGAGGCATGGTTGTAGAGGAAGGTGTGGAGATAAGTGAGCATTCAAAGTTAATGACCAGGCATTCTTGGTGTGTGTCTACACTCACACACACACACACGCACAATCAATAACTTGTAATCAACCAGTGTATTCACTCCCAGCCAATCTTACTTTTTGCACTGTCACTATGTAGAAATGCCCTGTAGTTTGAGCTTTTTCCCACTTAGTTATTATATATCATATTTGTTTCACTTATGTTACTTGTATATTATTTGTAAATCAAGAGACCCATTCCCCAATTATGTAACTGTATATTTTCAGCCTTCCAGCTGCCATGCTGTTTCAAAAAACTGTTAATTATTATTATTAATATTACAGTGGTCCCTCGGTTAACGAACGGTTCGATTAACAAAATTTCGGTTGACGAATTAGCTCCCATAAGGATCTTCAATTTGGTTAACGAACAAACTAACTAGTTCCCTCTACTGCATATATTATCAATATGTTAAATAAATGTTAAAATGACTAATAATTTTAATAGAAAACATGCATAAATATTATAAAGCACAACTTTATTGATATTTACCCATTGGAGACGAATACAAGTATAAACATAGAACAGATTACTGAATTGGCTGAGTGCCCCCATCAGCTGATCAGCTGATGTTCAAAACAAAAATTGATTTTTGTAAGGATTTTGTTAATCAAATTTTTGTTCGTTAACCGAATTGAAGATTCTTATGGACGGTAATTCGTTAACCAAAATTTCGTTAACCGAAGCGTTCGTTAACCGAGGGACCACTGTATTTTGTCCAAGAGATAAAAATTAATCACCGGTATCACATTACAGTAGCGATTTAAGAGTATGAGTGTGTATATATATATTTCATTAGCCCAATAAAGCACGCGGACTTCTACATACAATCAACACCTCAACCCGCCAGGATTCGAACCCACGGCCCACGAGCCCATGACTGCATGACTGTGACCGGGGAACGCTAACCGCTGGACCACCAGTATACAAAAGCAGTCCTAGACTTTGTTATATTTCACACAAAGCCTGTTCAACGAGCTTTAGGTGCCGTGAACCTCTAATGGGGACTACCCGTATCACGTAGGTGGTCAGAGTGACATTTTACCAAATATATATACAGTCATGCGCCGGTTAACGTCCGACCGAACAACGTCCGATCGCATATACGTCCGTGGCCCCACCCCCCCCCAAAAAATAAATAAAATAAAAAATAAATAAAATCCGTGACACCTGCTGGACCACCACTCCACGACCCCCTGACGGAGACACGATGATCCTCCCCATACTGGTCAGATATTTTGTGTTAAAGGAATATGCTTCCTTAGGCTTTTTTTTAAACATTTGCCTCCAGGTGTAATGTTAACCTACATCTGTTGAGGATAAAATCTTTCACCTACAAATTGACAATAACCCATTTGCTGTAATCAGACATACAGTGGTCCCTCGGTTAACGATCGCCTCGTTTAACGAGATTTCGGTTAACGAGTTACCTTCCATAAGATTCTTAACTTCGGTTAAAGAGCAATCCCTCGATTAATGAGTTTCTTACGAGCTGACCTCAACATGTTTTCGCTTGCATTTGGCAGTCCACCAGCTGTAGTATTAGTCCGCCAATACAGTAATCGGTTCTAGGGCTTATGTTCCATACTATTTGAGTAAATATCAAGAAGTTTATACTATTCAATAATTTTAAAAGTTTAATATTAAATTTTATAGTCATTTTAACAATTATTGAACATAAGTGAAGGTAAGGAAACTATTTTTATGCGCGCCATCCAGCCTGTCAACACCAAACAGGCGCCAGTCTCTCTGTCTTTTCAGTGGAGGTAACATCTTGCTTGAGACGCTCTTCAACTAAAAGCTTTTTTCTGTGTTTGCAAGCAAATTATTGGTCATTTTGAAATTTATTTTACATATTGACAATATATAATGCAGTGCAGTGTTGATTTAAACAAAATAATCTTGAATACATCAAGAGAACTAAAATTTTATGGGGGAAATGGCACCATGGGGTGACTTCTCTTCCACCCCAATGCCTTCTCTTCTCCCTTCTCCTCCACCCCCATTCTAATTCCCATCATCATCATCCAGGACCCTTCTACATACACACCTCAAAGTAAGTGTACATTTCTACCTTTTTTGTTGAATTTAGGCTACTTTCGGTGAGCTGGAACCAATTACCAAAAAACCCATTGAAACAATGGTTTCGGTTAACGAGTTTTTCGATTAATGAGCAACCTTCTAAAATGGATTGTGCTCGTTAACCAAGGGACCACTGTACCTAGTTGCCTCAACAATTGCAACCCTAGTTGCAATTGGGGATGCAATTTCAAATTATGTGGCATTACTAAGTACAGTAGTACCCCGATTTACGTGGTCAATTGAACCCACGAACCCACGGGGTACCGCGGAAAGTGAAAACCGCGTAAGTGAACAACAGAACATATGGGATTAATTCCAATAGAGACTGGCCCGACCCCCAAACTCCACTTTTTCCGACACAATACCTAAGTTGTAGTAAAAATAACATCTTAATTTTATGATGGTATGCACACACAATTAATATTTAAGAGAAATACAGTCGCCAGGTTAATGTCCATTCAAATAATGGACTCAACTCACCCCCCCCCCCTCTTCCCAGCTCACTGGCTCCTACCTCTCTGAGAAATGTTTGGGTGAAAACACTAGGTTTTAACGTTTAGTAATAAATAATACCTCAGACTAAAGTTAGGATAATATAATTGACATTTATGGATTCCTTGCAGGTCAGGGAATATTTTGCATGTAAACTTCATATATTTTGCTCAAAAGATAAAATATTTGGTTTGTGTAAACCAAATTATTATATTAGATCTAAAATTTGTATGTCTAATGCAAAATCCATGATGTTTTTATTCAAATTGATCATCATATTGTAAGGATTCCAGCAATGTAAATTATATTCTGCCCGAGTAATTTGTATGAATTTTATGAGCTAAAACAAATATCTTCAGTTAATAAAAAAAAAAAAAATATTCTTCACGACACTATCTGTCAATCAAAGTACCCCACCTTGCCTCCCCTCCCCCCTTCCTCCTCACACTCACGCCAGCTGGGTCGGTCGGTCCCAACCCTCCCCCCCCACCCCCACCTTCCCTCCCTACCAGAGAAATGTTTGGGAGAAAACAGTATCTTTACATTTTTAGTAATAAATAATAACTCAGACTAAAGTTAGGATAATATAATTGACATTTTTGGATTCCTTGCAGGTCAGGGAATATTTTGAATGTAAACTTCATATATTTTGCACAAATGATAAAATATTTGCTTTGTGTAAACCAAATTATTACATTAGATCTATAATTTGTATGTCTAATGCAAAATCCATGATGTTTATATTCAAAATGATCATCATATTGTAAGAATTCCAGCAATGTAAATTATATTCTGGCCGGGTAATTTGTATGAATTTTATGAGCTAAATAAAAAATTATACTTCACCCACGTATATGAGTAGAGAAAGTCCGGTTCTGGCGAGGTACCACGTAAATGAGAAACCGCGGAAAGTGAAACCTTTACGCGGGTAATACTGTATAGTGAAGTCTCTGGTGCACTCTAAGATTAAAAGAGCAAATGGACTTGTATGATGGGGGACCAAATAAAAAAAGCATAGCTACATGTTTTGTGGACTGCAGTATTAAGCGTACCCTTTTCATCACTTTATAATAAACCTAGCCATGCCTATGTGTGTTTATGATATTTACCATAACATTATATGTATATTTAGTGGGTATAAATGGTCATAAAATGGGAAACTTGGGGTTGGGTCTTGGGTGCCTGGAACCAATTAGAATAAATCCCATAGGTTCTGTACTTTCGTTATCGGCGGGGTCCCAATTAGGCGCTATAACCAAGGGATGACTGTACTGTACTGTATATACTTGTGACACTGGCCAGTTGCTTCTGGTGTTATGGTACAGGGGTACCAAGTGACAGCACTAGGATCCCGCTTCCTCTATCAAGGAATAAACAATTAATATTTAAATTGAAAAAAAAAAGCATTCAAATAATGGGACCTAGCGAACCTAAATGGCCCTAGAGCGGGCACAGTCACGTATGCATCGCGTATTCTTATAGATTATGCTGCCAGGCATACGTTATCTAGTGAATTTAGTCAATATTGTATAGTAACAATGGACCTAAGTGCAAACCTGTATTGTGCATGTACTAAATGATTATGGTACTAAAATTGTTATGTCTATTGCAAATATAGCTTGTTTATACAGGTATTCAAATAAATTACTATCTTACAAGAATCCCTCCAATGTAAGTTATATTCACCCAGGTTGTTTGGGTGCCAAATTATGAGAAGAGCTTAGTCACTCTTAAGTAATGATAAATAAACACGCAGGCAGGGCTTCAGCGCCAACTGTCAAATCTTATCTCAATTAAATAAACAAACAAACGCCACACATTCTGTCACCTCACCTCCCGCTCCCTCCCCTTCCCCCTCTTCCCACCCTCCTTGTGTTCCCAGACAAAAGATTGGTGATTTCTTTATGTTTATTTTATATAATATCTCAGACTAAAGTTCGGATAATATAATTTGCATTGCTGAAATCCTTGCAAGACGGAGATTAATTTGAATATAAGCGTCATATATTTTGCTCAAGATATAAAAAATGTAGTACATTAGTGTACAATATTGTAGTACATTTTATAAAAAGTTTTTCAACTGGGTAGATTTACATAAATTTCTTCATTTATTTTCATCCATTTGCATGCACACACCATACTAAAAGAAACGTAAAAGAAATAAATGACCTTAGTGCATATCTGGAGT